GGACTCAACCGAAGGAAGGGCACGTCACTATGGAGTACCCCGAACCGGGAGTGGCCGCTCTGGGTTTCGCGAAGACTTGACGTTCAGGAGCTCAAGTCATCTCCATCTGTGGTCTGGGTGCCGATCGGAATCTCGTGGACCTGGTGGCAGGCGGATCCGAAAACGTTTTGCTCTAAAGACTTTTGCTGGAAGTAGCAGCAGACGGAATCGAAGAAGTTTTTTGCTCCGACGACGCTTGTGAAACGGGTGGCTGAGCTTGCAGCAGCAGCAGAGGTTGCGACAAGCAGATCCGATGCTGGGACAATCTTAGAAGCAAGGCTGGCGATGGAGTCACGAAGCAAATCTCCACCGCAAGAAGCATTTTCCCGCACGTCTTTTTAGATGGGTGACCATATTCCGGTAACGATTGAGGTCCGCACCCTGGATCCCGACTTTGATTTTCAGGTGGGTGCCAGCAGCAGGTTTGAGGTGGAAATCACTTTCGATATGGCGGTAATCGGTTCGAATGCCTGCCGTGCGTTCTCGTAGATCGGCCTATCTCCTGATGCTGGTTTAAGTAACGTTTATCGTAATTGGACGCCCAGTGTCTTATATGGCAATTCTCGATTACATTATACTGGCTTATAGCATTCATCTTTGCCGTTGTAGCGGTAAGATTCCACTGCAACGAAGCCAGAGTCCGCTGTAATTTCTCCTGGGCGATATGTCGCTCGATTTGTGACTTGTGGAATGCTGACTTTAAGCACTTGATGTCTTACGACCGACCTGAAAGCCTACCTATTTCCTGCTGGAATAACGAGTAGTGCTTAAGTGTCTTGCCATGCATCGGACGCAAGCCTCATACAGCTGTTCCAGTCAGCGGTCTACTCGTTATGTGCTTACGTCTTAGTTGTCATAGATAAATACAGGCCGGTTTACAAGCAGCTCGTGAGAACGTCTGTAAATTCGTGCGTCATTTACTCCTGCGCAGCAAGATCAGAAGAGATCTCCATCAATGTAAGGTAGTGCCCCATCGTAAAGGTTTTCCAGCCTGGCTGCGTCGACCGAAAAATAGAATCGATAATATGGAACTGGAGTAAGAAGATCTTGATATGCTTAGGCTGGACCGGGTGGACCGACTTCGAATGAGCATTCTTCTTAACTCACGATAGTGGTTTTTTATAATCGCTTCGATTCATGTGCTCGCTCACCGAGTGCATGTCAGCTGAGCTGCATGCGCAATGTTTCGACAGACGCGCTAATCACTTTTTCTGCATCTCTTATGTTATGTTTTATGCTTGTTTGAAGCTCAAGGTTGATCCGCTTCCATAGTTCACATAACTCGGCATTCAACTTTCCAAAGAAAAGAGAAGGGCACATAGTCGCCGAGTCTTTGGTGTTATTCGTGCTTCTAGCGCAGACGCGACCACTTTGCTGCAGTGAAAATGCTGTATAGTAGCAAAATGTTGTCTTCCCACTGAGAAATCATATACTCATTGAGTACCTACTCTTCATTTTGTTAAGTAGGTCATTACATTGAACAAACAACAACACGATGACAATCACTTTGATCCGTGGTCTCAGTAATCGGTCTCAGGGCAAAAGCAAGATGAAGCGATTTCACGACCGGGACGTCTCAAAATGTCGAAGACGAAACTTTGATGCGACACTATAGCTCGATCATGTCTTAGCTTACGCAGCCGTCCCATATACCAGCCTCACATCATGCCTATAAGCGGAGCGTCACTCTTCACGCCACAGGCAGCGCAGGTTAACTTCAAGACATTGGTGGCTTTTCAACCTTCAATTGATTCAATAACATAACACCCGTGGACACAACTGCACAATGAATGCGACGAGTAACCAAAGCAGCACCGTCAGGATAGTGTGTCGATCGTACGTCGTAACGCCACACGCATGCCCTAAATATCGAGAATAGCCTGAACGATATCGCTCAGAATGAAGAGTACGGACTTGCCTACTAGTGATTGCAATGTGCGCAATCAGCACGGTAAAAATGCCACAAAAGCTGTATAATCGTTCGGATAACGTCGTCGAAGGGTTTAACCGCTGGCCAAGATATGGATGGAGCGGGGGTGTCGCTCCAAGGATAACATACACGTACACCTACAATGCGGCGAGAAGTGAAGAGAAGCACATATTTTACTGCCTTTGCGCTACGCAATAGACGTACCAAGTATTTTGTTGCTTACCACTAGTAGCACGAATTTTGGTAACACAGGTGCAGCTACTGAAGGAAGGGCTCTTACAAGGCGCAGCGGCACCACTGTCGAAGTAAGAGATGTGTGGACAAGGCGCGTATAGCCATGGATTATCTGTAATGCTATGAAACGCTACTACATGAGATGTGCTTGCGTCACGCGTTTCGAAAAAATAATCGAGTAATGTTTAGTGGCGCCGAGGTGTCATTGGCCACTGCGACACTTTATATATCGTTGCAAACAAAATTGCGAATGTACAATGATGGAAGCAGGTTGCGGAGGCGGGGCTGCGAAACGTCATGCAGACCAAAATGGTGGACTTACCAAATGGCGACCTGGTGTAGTGAATGAAATGAACGAGTGAAAAGAGGTTTTTCTAATGAAATGAACGGGCAAACCGAAGCATCTAGTATTATGTATTTCGTTACTGGACAGATTTCGCATGTACAACACAATGGGTCATCTATGTATTCGCAGCAGGATCCGCAGCAAAATTCATCATCCATCGCGGGATTATGCACTTATGTTGTTCGGATTGATAGCGTTCGTCCAGGATATGCAAGCGCGTTCTCTGCAATGTCGGCCGGCGCTAAATAGGTACGAAAGCATAAAGGCGCGTTGATGCTTGTTGGTACACGTCAGAATGTACCGCTATATAGCACATTGCAGCAGACATCCATCTTACGAAAATCGTAGGTTGCGTTTCTTCGAAAGTATCACGACAACTATAATCAGCACAATAGCTAATCTGATCAGCAGAGTCCACATTGCATAAGTTTGGATGGTATACCTCTGTAGTAACTGTAGCTGCGTCCGGCCGGACCCGCGGGCCATTTCGAACCAACACCTTTATAACGCAAATGCATCGGCAGCAATTCGACTTCGTTTGCAGTAGGCCCTTCGACAACAGCTAGATTTTATAAGTATCATCTGGCATATTCGCAGTTTCGCAAACGTTCGTAACTCATTCGGCACTCTAATTGTGACCTTCAAAACAGGCTGACGCACGTGTGTTATCACAATTGGGCGATCGGTACAAACGCCAGGAAGGATCTGCGCACACTCCGCACCCTTCATCAGTACACAGCTGACGCTGATACAGCACCATTTTCACTTGTCCCACGCTCCTTGTCATCCGGACCTGCCATGACACTGCCATGTCACCTCATAACCAAGGACCGCCCATTGAGCGTACGTTCCTTTGTCACCTTTGCTACGTGTCCGACAACCACAAAAAGTTCGCGGCAGCACAAGTTTGCGATCTCCATGCTCTCTCTTCGTCTCAACGTCGAATGAAAGTGCCGCTCTGCCTGCGTCGAGGACAATGATGCTTCAACAAGTTTCCAAATAATTGTCTCACGCTGTGCTTCTACGGCAGCTACTAGCGTAGTGCAGTATCTGTCTTTCAGCATCACGTTGGATTGCGAGGGGAAGATTGGTGCTACGACAAGACCACAGCCATTGTGCGACAATTAAGTGCGCCATTCCGAAACGACAACGTTGGGTTACCCGTGGTGACTCAGCACACTATCTAGTCTGGACAATATGAAAAAGCATGATCGAAATTAGATCAGGCAAGTCTTCGATGACATTGCGGTCCGTGTTGGAAGCACTCTCAAAGCTCTCTTTGTCCACGAAGCTTTTGACAAGCGTGAGACCAAGTTCGTCAACGACTAAGCAGCCATTGGAGTTGCCATCGGTGAGATGATGTGTTTAGTGCTGGATTGGGATAGTGATGTTGGTGGCGATGTAGATAGCGAATCACGTTTCAATCCCCTTGCTCTACCAATACTACCACCAATTTTGCTGCAAGATCTTGTCCACTCTTTCGTTGACAACTTCATTCGCAATGATGGCACACAAAGCTTTCGCCTGCAGCATCAATGCGCGGCGACATGAACTAGCATCGTTGCCGATGAACATAAAGCTGGTCTTCAAGCTCACCGCAAGGAGCCTGTACTTTAGATCAGCATTGACGCCTGAAAACAAAAGACGTCGATTGAAACGCTTACTCAGTGCTTGGTTTCCAACCTTGGTCGAGCTTTACGGTGGCACCGCAACTGCTGTATCTCGGCACGAATAGGTCTGACTTCTCTGTTTTGAGGTGGGGACATGTAATCACGTAGAGCCTTTTTGACTTTGGACTGCATTGAGTACTATCGACAAAGCATTTTGTGCAAATCGATGCACGCGCGGACCGCGGTGTGTAAGTAGCGACCTCGTAGCTTGTACTATAGATCATCTATCTGTCTTGTTACACAAATGAAAAGGCCGAATCTTGTTAATTGGCCCTCAACCTCAACTAAATGTGCCTACCGTTTCAATTCATTTCGATACGACGCCCATATTAAGCTTATGCAGGTAACTCAGTCGATCGTTCATTGTAGCTAGTCACGACGAGAAGTGATGACCTACGCGCAAAAAGGAGATAGGTTCTGCTGAGCTTGAACTTTTCCCATCCAGGGGCGATCATCTCAAGCTCAAGACGCTTTGCTTTTCTTTGCATGTCCAGAATCACAAGAAGATGCGATTGCAGTGTCGCGTAGAGTCGCGCCGAGCGCAATGATAAGGGGGTCTGCACGACACGAATCAAGCATGCTGACCACGCAATACTACGGCAAACATATCACGCATTCATTGCCAAAATAAGTGACCTGAACTGTCAGCTATCGACAGTTCATCGCCACACCTATCCTAGATTCTAGACCTACCTACCTCCCACCTCCCAGCTTTACAGCTCTCTTCCTTCCCAGTTCGTTCGCCATTCCATTGCAAACGTCCTTGCCACAATTGCAGTTGCTACGAAGCTGCATCACACTTCTCGTCAGCGACAAAAGCGGTTGTGACGGCTGTGGTAGTACCCGACTCGTCGACTCCATGCTGCTCTTGGGCCTGAGCCTCCTTCGGACGCGGGCGCTGCTGCTGTCGAGCTTGAACCTGCGCTTGAAAATGGCGACGGATGTCAGCACACCGGGGCACTTTGCACGATGCGTAGTCTTTCGTGCATTGACGAGCGTGGGCAGATAGAAGTCCAATGATACGCTTGCACAATACACAGGGACCAGCAAGTCGCTGCTCACAAATCGCACCGTGTTTGAGCATGGCCTGCATACGATTGCAGTTGAAAAACGCACAGTTTGGCACCGAGCAACTGCTCGCGTGCTCCAACTGCAGCAAAAGTTGCGGGTCGATGTTGTGAATTCGTCGCTTCTTGGCAGCGTCCACATCACTTGCACCTCCGTTCGAGGCGACCCCGGTCGCTAGCTCGGCTGTAGTACTCGGAGCTGTAGCTGTTACGTCAGCCGTACCTTCTGTCTGTACAGAAGCTGCTCCTTGCCCCGATGCTACTACTGCCTCAGACTTTACAGCTGTTGGAGCGACTGCAGTCGCGCTCTGGTGCAACTTGCGCTTGCGAGAGCCATTCACCTTGTTTCCAGCGCCTTTCATATGTTTTGCCTGCTTCGTGCGCTTCAGGTCAGAGCTACCTGGTTCGCGTTTTATCGAATGGCCGGTCGCGCCATCGCCATTGTACACGACACCCTTGACCTTAGTACTTACTGTCTCATGGGACACCTCGTTGCCAGGTTGTGGGATAGAAACCACCTTGAACAAGTGTAGCTGATGCTCATGCTTTGTTTTCGTGTGGCACGCATCGCAAAGGTTGAACACCGGACAAATGGAGCAATTCCAGCGGTTACCACTTAGCAGTGTAGTCTTGCAACTTGAGCAGCTGAACGTGAATCCAGTCGTGCCTTGATTAAACAAGTGGTACAAAACCATCATCGATGAGTGCTTCGCCCGCCTGATCTGGTCGAACTGGCAATGGTTGTTCTGGCAGTAGAGCAGAAAGGCCTCGCGTGTGTCAAAGATCTCACATGGCATGATCACATCATCCAGGTCATCACCAATCACGCGCTTTATCTTCCTTCGCACCATCTTCTTCGGCTTCTTGATCCGCTCTGTTGCCACACCTTCGTTCTTTACAAACCTCTCTTCAAGTTTCTGGTCCTTCGTCAACAAAGCACTTTCGGCGGCTTCGCGAGATGCTTCTCCGGCTTTGCTCGCAGCACTGCCAACGGCACGCTCACCAGCAGCCTCGCTACTTGCTTCCGCGACAGCACTCTTTTCCGCAGGCAGTCCAGCATCACCGTCGCTTTCCTTCGCTTTGCCCCCAGAAGTCGTCATCTCACTAGACCGTTCTTCCTCCCCTTGCTGAGATACTTCCTCGGCGTCTGCCATTGGGTCGACAAACTTAAGAGTCAGCTCAAACTTGATGTCCTGCAAATCCAAGTCAACTAGCTCAGCAATGGCTGCCTTCTCGCTTAGCGGGTAAACACGGTCACCCAGCTCCTTCGCGCGCTTCGCGCACTTGACTGACACCTCCACACGATGCAGCAGCTGGACTTTGTGAGTCTCGTAACAAGAACTACAGTAGTAGTAATGGTAGTGGCGTGGTGGCGAGTTGCGGGAGCTCGACGACGAGGAACGCAACTTCTTGGCAACTTCCAGCAGATTGTTCACGGCCGCAAGAGGCGGTATCGTTTTCAGCTCCCAGTAGCTTTCGTGTACGATCGGAGCCGCGCACTTGTGACACTTCGGATGTAAGTCCACTACAAAAAAATCATCCTTTTGCGGCTCAAGAATGCCCTTTAGCTTTTGCATCAGCGGGTCATTATTTACCACGTTTTTCGAACAGCTTGACGAACGTGACGGATTACTACTCTTCTTCGAACGAGCCTTCGAAGCGCTGCTCCGCGTTACCGATGGCTCGGTAGCAACAGTACCTTTTTTACTGCGCTTGCTCTTGTTCTTCATATTCGTAGCAGGTGTCATCGAACCTTTGACCGATGCTATAGACTTGGACCCACTGACAAAAGCAGTCTTTGTACCACTCTCATCGCCACACTCACTCGGCGAAGGGGACCGAGGCACGGATGTCGTCAAGCCAGCAGCGGGTGCACTTTTTGCACCACCGCAGCCCACTTTATTTCCAGCCAAAGCAGCATCGCCACCGGCACCCTCAACACCCGATTTTGCTCGACTGTCCTTTTCTTCGAGCTGCTTGATGAGATCCTCAGCAAGCCGTGGCCAGTAGTCACCTTCGAAGTACGGCAACTCGTGAGCTGCTTTCTTCTTTGTGTAGTACTCAGCATACAGATTGGACACGTTAGCAATGAGCCCATCACGTTTGGCTTGCACCAGCAGTTTTTGGTACCACATGCGCAGACGCGCCGATTTTGGAATTTTCTGGTTCTCTGGCTTGCAGAAAAAGATGTAGTCATCGCCCTTTAGCGGTGGGCAAGACCAAATGTGGCAAGTGTGAAAGCCACGGTTTTTGCAGTCTTCAAGAAACCCCAACATCACCTGCTGATGCATCAACGTACGCAGCTTCTTCGGTTGAAAGTAGTTTACCGAGTCCAAATACGAAACGTACACTCGCCCAGCATTCGGCGAAAGCGAGTCCGGACCATATTCCTGCACGTATAGCGTAAAGATAAGCACATCCACACCATCCAGTTCTTGGAAGACGCAAATGCATCGTGATCGATACGTCAACTGCAACGACAAAGACATCGATGCTGCCGTAGCAGCCGTCTTATCAGCGGAAGCTTTTGTCGGCCGCGGGCGCTTTAGCGACTTTGTCTTTCCAGCCGCACCTCTAGCACCAAGGCCAGTCTTAATGGCTTTCCCGTACTTCGCTGCTAGTAACTTAGCCATCCTTGGTTTGACTTGCACTTGCTTGTCAATACTAAGGACCTCGCGAATGGTGACTCCAAATTGCGTGTCAGATGCAGATTCCTTAGCACCACTCGAAAAGCCGATACTGTCAGAGTTGCCCATGCTATCCAGACGTATTGCCTCGTCCTTGCCTGCCTTTTCAATGGAATCTAGCACGCGAGTCTCAATCAGCTTTGCCATTCGTGTGATCGGAAGGCGTTTGGCCTTCAGACCATTAAACAGTGACGGCTTCACGCCAGCAACGCGCTGCTTCTTTACACAAATTGGACACACGAAAGGTTCTTGCTCACCTGATATCGCGTGGTTTCGTTCATTGAACAAAGCGCAAATCTGATGATACCACAACTTACACGAATCACACTCCACCCACGGTTCTTCCGCGACCTCACTATTCTTCCTCTTTACCAGTGACGCTTTCTTTAGTACTCCATCAAACGGGATTATATCAGCGCCAGGAGGAGGAGCTACCTCAGCTGTAGCACTCGATAATTGAGGCACAAGGGACATGTCGATCGGACCGTCTTTCATCTGCTTGTAGCAGCTTGAGCACCAATGATGTTCTCCTCGAGGATCGCTGTAGTAGTGAGTATGTCGCCGTATCCGGCCAGCACAAGGACCGCTACAGAAAAGCATGCACGGCGCAAACTTAAACGAGTCGCCTCCGCACAGCTGGCACATCTCTTCGCGACGCTGTTCGCAGCGTTTGAATAGCTGCTTCTCCAGCAAATTCTTAAGCGCCGCCAACGACTTATTGAACGAAGCAAGCAGCTGCTTTGCTGCAATATTGAATTTGTTCGTACTGCTGTTGTATGCAATGCAATTCTCGAAAACCAAACGCACATCACCGGCAAACGACTCAACACTGCTGTAGTGCTCACTTTCCAACCTCTTTTTTATCGTGCCAAGATCCATCGGGCACTTAATTATGTCAAAGTAGTCCGGAATGTTCCACTGCACAGGGTCCACTGGATTGTTGAAGGTCCAACCATAGTCGCTTTCCATGAGCTTAGTGAGCAACGGCATCAGTCGACTCTTCAGCTCACCAATCGAAATATGTCCACAGAAATTGAACCGTAGCGAACGAATGTGCTCATCTAGCTGGCCTTCCGTCATCGAGTCCAAGAAAGATATGTCTTGGTGCGAAATGTGATGGTCATCGCGTAGCTCCGCCTGAGTGCCACGAACGACGAGACCGTTGTGCGTTGCGGGCTGCGCAGCTTCAGCCGCTGTCAAAGCTGCAGTAGGTCCAGTAAGCGCTGCCGCCGCGGCAGCCTTTGCCTGGGCACGGGCCTTTGCAACTTTGGCCTGCTCTTTTCGGCGAAGCTTTTTCTCTTTTTCAGTCTGAAATTTCAACGGCTTCTTCTTCGTGTCCTCCGGCAGACTCGGTTCCTTCACATTTGTCACTTTGGCTTCACTAGAAGTGTGTGTGTGGTCCTGACTAGCCGCACCACAAACGGTAGTACTAGCCACAGGTGACCCCTTTGCCTTCACTGCGCTTGCTTGTTGGGAACCCCCTGTGGCGTCATTTCTGACTCCAGCTTGTGCTGCTAAGGCCTCGGGAGGATTCGCTGCAGTAGTGGTGTTCATGATTTTGATCAATCCGCGCACGCCATCCGGGCACTGACTTGCCGTCAACTGAAGCTGAGTAGGGTCCCCTCGACAAGAGTCTACCACTTTTATGGCCTTACGCACAGGACCGCATACTTCACAAATCATCTTGTTGCACTGCTTGAAATGCGATAGTACGTACCGCGACGAAATACAATGGTCAGTTCGACACTGTCGCTGATGACATTCGCATATGTGCTTCCAGAGCACTTTCATTCCAGCGCAATATGGCAGAATGCAATGCTGCATTGTACAAGTGCTAGCGTGGCGTAGCATGCAAAGACGCTCCTGTTGTCGTCGTAGTACCAGTTGCTGTTCGTTCTCGTTCATCGGAGGCCGGATCGCGCTACAAACGTCACACTGTAGATTGCGGCATTTGCGAAAATGCGATAGCAACTGTCGAGTCGACTTACATCCCAGCGTGATGCACTGAGCGTTTGCGCAACGAGACACGTGTGCAAGCAATGCCTTCGTGCGGCTGCAGTGATCGATACCGCATTCATCCGTCGTGCACGTTCGCGCGTGCTTCAGCTGAACCAGCCGTCGCTTCAATTCTTCCCGCTTCTGAGCTATTGACACCTCGTTCATCTGAATCATCCCGGGCGCAATCCCGTTTCCAGCCACGGCAGCAGCACTTGGCGAGGTTGACATACCGCTAGTTGGCACGGTAGTAGATGCCTGTAGCTGGGCAGCACTGACATTTCCGTTCAACTGCTGCTGTTGAAGTTGCTGGAGCTGTTGCATTTGCCTCAGTTGCTGCATTTGCTGAATCTGATGGATCTGCTGCATCTGTGGTCCAGTCAAAGTCATCCCGTGATACATGTTTGCTCCAGTAGCAGTCACTGGGGCAGCACTAGCCATCGTGGGATCCGGCTGAACAAGACTGGCCGACGTGGCGACGCTAGCGCTTATCTCTGGTGGCATGCTCAATGGAACGGCACTAAACGAGTCCGTTCCGATACCCCCCATTACGACAGGTGAAGCAGGTGTCGGTGTCACGTTCACAAAGTTGTTTCCACCAGTGGCATTCAACGCACCAGGTGCCGGCGCAGACACTTGTAATTCGGACTCCGGCATCGCAAGAGGCTGATCAAGCACTCTGTTGGCCATCTCGTCTGCCTCGCGCTCCAGTTCGTCCAATATAGAATTGCTCGAACCCTCTACTCCATTGCCCAAACGTGAAGTAGCAGCATCTGAAGACCTTTCGACTCCGTTGACTGAACCTGGAGTCTTTACCGTCACTTGTGGCATACTTACCGGTACCTGAAGGGGCTGCGACATAGAAGCCTGCGGCATTGCAGTAGAGTTCTCGAGAAACGGAACTGCCTGCAAGTTTGTTCGCTGGTTATGCAAGGCTGCTGCCAGTTGCTGTTGCTGCTGTCGCTGGAGCAGCGCCATTTGCCGCTGCTGATGCATCTGTGCTTGTGTTTGTTGCTGCAGAGGACTTGAGGCCGTACCTGGCGATTGCGGCTGCTGTTGCTGAAGTCTTGCCTGTTGCTGCTGCATCTGCCGTCGCCTTGAGTTGTCCAGAGCTTGCTGCAATCGCGCTTTCAGCGTCTGCACGCTGCTGTATTCTTGTTTAGACGATGCTCCCATATACAGTGTGTGCTCCAACCTTCTCGCAATCTCCCGGGGATTATAGTTAGCGGATGTCGGTCTGTTGGCGCTCTTCATTATCAACGTCAAGCTGCACACGATCATAGCCAGCGCGGCATCTTCAGTCATTCATACTCTACCAGCCACATTAAACAAGAATCCGTCAATACGCACATGATCCGTGCAATCTGCTGCCTTGCGCTCCGGTCAGCATCTTTGTTTCTCCAATCTGAGGTCGTTCCAACAGAAGCGCTCGGAGAAGCGCCCCCAGCTACACTTGCTGCATGTTCACTGAACGGGGTTGCCGAATGTGCACTCGCTGCAGTACCCACAGCGCCTATAGCAGGAGCAGATACTGCCGTAGACGCTAGATTTCCTGAGGTGCTACTGTTTGATGCCTATTTCACACGCAACCAGGTTCACACACGCCACAAGTATGCACAAAAACCTAAGTAACAACCCCACGTCTCGTTTTTGCTCACACTGCTCACAGCGACGCGTGCAACGTACAATACTTGCTGTCGTCGTGGCAGTCGAATCGGGCACACGAGCTACTGTCGTCGGCTTTGGTGCATACTGAGAAACAGGAAGCATCGATTGCTGCGGAATAAACGCAATGCAACACGTCTTCGAAATGTACCACAGGCTACTGTTTGGTTTTCAACAAAGTGTGGCGGTCCGTTACAATGCCAATCAAAGTGCTGCACTGCACGAGAGAGCTTCGGCAGCCACTCCCACGGCTACACCCTGCAATCTCACCAGCAACAAAAGCAACAACAATAGACACCATACTCAAAGTTAGCTGTTTGCTTTGTTCACTAGTCAGGTAGTAGGGATACGTCACACCACTTCAAAAAGCGGTGTGGGGCTGGTCATACTATAAATTACGGCACGGGTTGGTAATTTATATTGACCGGCCAAACGTGCTGCAGCTCGACACGCTCACTGAGCTCGGAGGGTGCAAACAACATCCCCGTGGTCGCAATCACGCAGACAAGTGTCTCCACGAGCGTGTTGAGGCGTCGGACGCCGAACGTTATCGTGGTAGAAAGGCCCCCTATAATAAATTACGACCTCCTTACCTCGGTTTTGTAAAGGCTAGACACCGGACGACGGCGCGAGAGTCGACGGATAGCAAGAACAAGACACGCAGATAATAGTTTTCCAAGCGGTAGCGCGATCCAGTGGCCACAAGGTGCAGGTCGAGGGCGGGCCCCGAGCGACCGTTGCGAAGGGCGGGCCGCGCGGCGAGAACAAAAGAGAGAGTGGTGGTCACTCGGTCGAGGGAGCGCGGAACACGCAGCGAGTGACACGTTCCAACGCCAGCGGTGTAAGAAAACTAAAACGATGCCACGCAACGGTCTCAAATCGGGTACCAACTCGGCAATGTGTGTTTTGGGACATCGACGCGCCGGGAGCAGCTCGAGCGACATTCGAGCGACATGCACCACCCCGCGCACCGAGACTAGCCCAGCCTATCAAACAACATGCCACCTGCTACCATGCATCGCATCGTGTCCGACGCCGCGGTGGGCAACGCAGCCGCACAGGACGTCCCGGGAGACCGTGGACGGCGCGTCGAGACACCGAGAGAGCTGGCACCGGGTGACGTGGCACTGCGAGCGGCTGCGTACACTGTCGTGCTGTTGCCGGAGCTCTGGGGTGCGCACTGCCACACGTGCTTTGTGGCCGCGGAGCGGCAGCGTCTCCGTCGCTGTGGCCGCTGCCGGACGGTCTCGTACTGTACGTCGTGGATGGATCGATTGATAGCTCGCGGGGGAGGGGTTGATCAGTTTAGAAAGGTAGCCGATGGCCAAAGGTGATTGCGATTATGCTGGATGGCAGGCTCGAAAACATGTCAGCAGGCGAACTGGCAGTTGGATCACTCGACCGAGTGCAAGCGGCTCAAGCAGTTGACGCAGCTGGGACTGACGAGCGACCAAGTGATGGACGTCGTGCTTCTAGCGCGCGTCTTGCGGCGCACAGGTGTCGAGGGACGGACGCCCACGGAGCTCGTGTGGTACGAAGAAGACGTGAAGGACCAGGAACTGGTGTTACTGGCCGCGTTGACTCAGAAATTGGGTCTAGTGGCAATCAAGGTGAGGGACAGGGAGGGCTGCAAGCAGAGAAGACGACAGAGAAGCCGACGAGACGTCGAGTCAGGCTAATGGGTCTTTGTGGTGGTTGATGGTAATGTGGTGGAGCGGACGTAGCACTCGATGGACGAGATGCTGCGCATGCTGAGTCGCTTTCGCAACAACAACTTTTCGATCGTGGACGAACTGCTACTGCCACTGGGTGCCGGCTGTTTTCCCCTCGGCGCGATGGTCAACCACAGCTGTGACCCAAACTGTGCTGTCACGTAAGTGGCTTGATCGTGGTGATAGTGATATTTGTGGTGGAGGTGGCACTCGAGTCTGGACTGACACGACGAGGTTGGATGTTAGTTAGTTTTGTGCCAAAGACGCTGGATATCGAGTTCCGGGCGATGAGGCCCATCAAGGCTGGTCAAGAGCTCACGCAGACGTACGGTAAGTACCTCTTGCATGCTTGTGTTGAAAGTATGCTCATGTACGATTTGCTGCAGTTGACGTTGCGCTGCCACGTCGTGAGAGACAACAGCGACTGCAACGCAAGTATCATTTCCAATGCGCATGTACCCGTTGTGCGCTGCCTTTGCAAGACCCCAGTTGCCCCGACGCTTTCCTCGACGCCGACAGTGATGGCGTTCCACAAGAGTTCTGGACACAGGAACGTCACGACGAAGTGGAGCAGGCGCTACAAGAAGCTCGTGATGCTACCAGTTGCGATGCCGACGAGACAGATGCAGCTGTGCAGCAACAGCAACGCATTGACGCACTGAAAAAGCGGGTCGAGCGTCAAAGTGGTGTGCTCCACCGTGAGAACATTGCACGGCTACAGACGCTGTCGGCGCTTTTTAGCGCTGAAATGGAACGTGGGAGTGTGCGAGCAACGTGTGAACATGGAGAGCATATGTTGGAGTTCTACAGACGTGTCTACACTGCAAACCACCCGATGACTGGACTTCATTTGTTCACCCTTGGCGATCTGTACGATCAACTGGCACAGGCCGGACCAGAGACTGCGGACTGGTGCGAGGCAAAGTCGATCGAGTGTCTGACCGAGGCGCAACGTATTCTTCGAATCACGTATGGACAGGAGCACCGGTTCGTGAAGATGCTCGCAGACCGACTCGAGGGACATCCTCGAAGTCGTGACAAGGTCCAAGCACAGGGTTGAAGCACAAAGTCAAGGGCGATAGAGCTGTCGATACGTTCGCGACGGATCGTTTGTGCAGACGTGACTGCATCTATCCGGATCGCAGGCGACAAGCACAGGTACGACAATGGTATTCATGTCGTTGTGTACCAGCAGCCCCTTTCTACCTGCGTCGCACGAGATATCGCATGTGCATCGAAAGAAGGTTTTGACACCGTTCCCGGCGTATCGTGAAGGGTTCACCTCTCCCTGCCTCCTATGATAAGCTTATGTTGCACAATCAACTCTTTGTCGCCCGCCCGTCCTAATTGCGACTTTTTGACCGTGTCAGCACGCGAAAAAGCTGTTTCTTTTTGACCGGTGCAAATCTGGGAGTCTACACGCTTTACATACAAAACACTTTCTTCCCATCCCGTCTAGTGTTCGATCGTTTGCGTACAAAAAAGCATCGTAGCAACACCGCTCGCTCGCCTGCGCTCCCTCTCTCTCTCTCTCTCTCTTCTCCGCATGAACGTCGTGACGGAGATCCAGCGTCTGAACGAGCGCGAGCTCGAGCTGAACGTGCCGCTCTCGGGGTCGTGGCACGCCAAGTACCGCGACTCGGCGTGGATCTTCATCGGCGGCCTCTCGTTCGAGCTGTCCGAGGGCGACGTGCTGTGTGTGCTGAGTCAGTTTGGCGAGGTCGAGGACCTCCACTTAGTGCGCGACCGTAAAACAGGCAAGTCGCGCGGGTTTGCTTTCCTTAAGTACGACGACCAGCGCAGTACGATTTTGGCCGTGGACAACCTCAACAACTGGAAGCTGCTGGACCGCGTGCTGCGGGTGGACCACGTGCTGAAGTACAAGTTGCCGCAGGAGCTGCAGGACGACAGCGACGCGGACAGCAGCGACGAAGAACGAGGAGGAGGCGGCACTGGCCACGAGCGACGGCGGTCGAGAGGACTGCCGGGACACGCGTACGAGGGCAAAGCACTCGCGTCGGACTTTGATTTGCACAGGGGCGTCGACGTGTTTGCTGCTGCTGTTGAGAAGCAGAAGACGGAGAAGAAGCAGAAGAAAAGACGGGGAAGAAGAAGCAGAAGACGGGGGAGAAGAAGCAGAAGACGGAGAAGAAGCAGAAGAAGAAGGAGAAGAAGGAGAAGCAGGAGAAGAAGGAGAGTGTGGAGCAGAGGCAGCAGCAAGTGGTGGCCCACGTGCTGGCAAAGCGGCGGGAGCAGAGGCAGCAGGAAGAGCGAGAGGGGGTGTCGAGCGACGGGAAGGAAGTTGTGGTGCAGCCGAGTGCGACGGGGTGGAGGGGGAGGCTCGAGCCGTCGGCGAAGCGGCCGCGACGCGAGTGCGAGGAAGAAGGACAAGAGCCAGAGCGGGAGGGACGAGGGAAGCAGCGGTGCACAGGCTACGGAGGCCTGAGTCGCACTCGGTAACGCAGCGGCTTTGTCGTTTGTGTTCATTACATTGCTCCGATGTGCGGCGTCTTCACCTGTTGCTGGTGTTGTGCGAGTTTGGGTGCTTGCTAGCGGACGGCAGTGTCGACTCGGGGACGTCAGACGAAGCGCCATCGTGCTGGCTGTTGCATGGAAGCGGCTGGAAGTCGTACACCTGAAGCAGGTTTCGCACGTTGGAGCTCGCTGCTGCCTCTGTAGCTACGTCCGCTTGACTGACACTGCCGTCATTGTCGTCGTTGTCGTCGTTGTCCGTATCGTCGGGCAGGTCAAAGTGACGCTGACCGCTGCACACAGCGACGATGGCTCGGGACGCGTCAGGGAAGAAGGACACGCCGTTGACACAGTCAGGAAGCCGAATGGTCTCATCGAGCAGCTCGCCCGTCACCACGTCGTAGAGCATCATTCGACCGGTGCGACTGCCAGCCGCAAGATACCTCCCGCCACAGTGCAAGTCAAACTCCAGTCGCTGATTCGTGTCGGCCACGCGGTTGAACGTGTGCAGAATTTCGTTCGTAGCACGAATGTCCCAGCAGTGGATCCGCGCATCGCAGCGGGCACTCGTGTACAAGAACCTGCCACAAGGCGAGAATCGCACTTGGGCAATGCCGCGGCCGTCGTGATCGCAGAGGGCAAGCAGCTCTTCCCCCTCGTCCTCCGTGTACACGCAAGTCATGCCTCCATACGAGCCAGCGGCATAGATCTTGGAATGATCGGGATTGAAGTGCAGCGTGCTGATCAGCCCTCGCTGGCCTTGACGGGACCGTCGCGTCCGGCTCAAAGGGCGAGCGCAAAAGTCTCGACCAGGCTGCGACAGATCGAAGAAGCGGATCATGCGGTCAAAGCCAGCAAAGAGTTTCGTGCCGGTGGCATTGAAGGCCACGCTGTGCGCACTGGTGAGCTCGTCCAGGTGGTCGAACGCGCGATACGTGGCTCGCAGGCCGCCCGTGTAGGCGTCCCATAGATGCACGGGGTGGTCTTGACTCGAGCTCACAAAGAGGCACGAAGACGGGTCTGCCGACGACATGAACGGGTACCACGCGTAGTCGTACACTGTGCCGCCGTCGTTGGCCTGCAACAAACTCGTGCGGGACTGCGTGTTGTCGCCGTCGAGTTCAAACAACCGCAGCACGTGGTCGTCGCTGTTGGTCAAGAGGCAGAGACCGTCAGGTGAGACGCGGACGCCTTTGGTGAAATTGTTGCGGCATGTTCTTGACACGCGGTGGAACTCCTCGTAGGCGGTGAAGTGGACGACGGGACGCAACGTGGTGTTGTACGTGAAGAGCGGGTGTGGTGGGGTACAGGCTGACTCGACGCCATCAATAGCGGCCATAGACGACGGCTGTAGTGTATGAGCGTGGATACCAACCGTTTACTTGGTTTTGTGCGGAAGACGCTGGGGTGTGTTTTTTTCGTGACGCTTGCAAAATTGATATTGTTTAAAACACACACACACACACACGGACTACCGAACGTTTGGCGCGACTTATTCGTGCACGCGACCGGCTCATTTGAGCATTTGTTTCTTCGTGTCGCACGAGTCGGTGGCAGTCCGACAGTCGCACGATGCTGGACACTTGAGGTGGGGTTGCGGGTCGAATGTCGAGCGTGCAGCAACAGCTGTCGTACTCGCAGTTGCATCACGAGGCGAGTCGACCGACGGCCGTCTGATCTCGAGCTTTTGCGACATAGTGACATCAACTGCATCTTGGCCAAACGGTTTTGTTTGTCGACGATGTCTTCGTCGAGTTCACTTCTGCTGGCGACGTCTGGACGATACGGTCTTTGCCGTCGCAGAGCTTCCCATGTTGCTGTTATTTGGACCATACGTCAGCAACAACAGCGGAGCCACAAGTCGTGGAGAACACACTCTTGTCGGACCTGACAAGACGATAACGTGAGGTTTCTAGTTTCGTAGGGGACCGGGAAGGCCACCGGTATGTACGCATGAGTCTTTGCGTTTCGGCGGCACGTGTCGGTGGTATGTATGGAGCCATGTTTGTGCCTACTGCATCGAACTATGGATGGGGGAGGAGCACGTGTCGACAGACTTGCAACATCATCGTACGACTCGTCTGAGCTCAATTGCATGAGCTGTGCAGGTGTAGCAGTTGGACACAGCGTTGTACATTTCAGATGTGGCAACATCAAGTGCGACGATCAGTGCCGCGACTGCATTACAGCAAAGGCTTATGCAGGCAGCACAGACGAAGAGATAGTGTACGAAACAGTGCTGTGCCAACGGAGCTTCAAGACGTACGCATAAAGACGAGAGACTAAGAGCACGAAACGCGCTGCGTACATTACGTACGCTCTGTACTTGCGGTGGAAAAAGACGGACATGAAACAGCGCATGCGAAACAAGTACGCACCTCTGCAAGATCGCAATGCTCGTTGGCTTTCGTGCCGACAACAACGACCAGACGAGCATTGCGTCCGTCTTTTTACCGATCCCATCTTCTCCAGGGTACGTGTCACATACTGTGAAGCCATTGCGATGGCACGACGTATTGGACCACGTCAAAGGCACTCGCATGATGACAGTGTGGCATCGTCGTTGCCCGCGTGGCACATCGGACAACATACCGCCCATCCTATCTGTCGGTCATGATGAGCCCTTCGCCCTTGCGACACGAACATGCAGGACATGATCGACGACACAAAGTCGCGACCACAGCGATTCTCCACTACCGCTACGGAAAACTCCTTTGCTGTCCAACGTGGTCCCTTTGCCAGTTGCCGAGTGCTTTTCCCTCGTGTCTCCTTCGCTACAAAACTAGTTGCGCTTTGACTCTCTCTCTAGTGAGCAAAGGCGAAGAGCTCAAGAGCTCAAGAGGTGCTACTGATGCGACGCAATGATAAGCGTCGGACCACAGAGACAGTGTGTCGTTTCGCGACTTTGTGTCGGCAAAAAACAGTCACTTTCCACACTGTGATAACGACATGAAAGGCTGCGAATGTTGAAGCTCTGTCTGCCTTTGCGGTGGCTACGCACGCCCCACTAGAGCCACTGCAGCGACGAGTGCGTCGAGTCAAAACCTCGGCGAAACGGCCCGCGCGGACGTTACCGACAGAGGGGCAAACAAAAGAGCGCGCGCGCGCTGGATCATTTTCGACAAAACGCGTTTTTGCAACAGATAATGTGGGACACGCCACGACCGCGTCACGCCTGGACAGCAACGACGACTTTTCCAGCCGCGCGCGCGGGCGTTTCCCCTCCTCTTGCAACGCCGCCGTTGGACTGCAGTGGATTTTTCGTCGACGTTTGCTGTCGTGTACCCACTCGGCGCGCCCCGGCCATGTTCCCCCCATGCCTGTCATTGGCTCTCTCTCTCTCGCGTTCCCTCGCCCCTCTGATGACACCGAACCCCCCAAAAGTAGATAGATGCGCAAAAGCGCCGCGTTTTTACCCCCCCGCGCAAAGGATCGGCCGACCCACTTGACCGACCCCTTATCGCCCGCAATCAGCTGCGACCGTCGGAAGGATTTGGGGCCGCCCACCCGCTCCCCCAGCAGCTCATTCCGCGTTTTGCTCCGTGACTCTCTCACGCCCATTCGCACGCGTCCCACGGCCGGCCCGGGGCACCCGTAACCGCTGCCGTCGCCACGCTGTCCAATAGCGTCCCGCATTCTCCCCGACTCTAATTAAACGTCTCCCACTGCAGCACAAGCCCCCCCCCGCAAGCACTTTCGGCAGGTCGTCCCACCACCCCATCCAATGGCCGACGGCGACCGCACGCCCAAGCGGCGGCAAGTCGAGACCAACTACCTCGACGTGCACCGCGAGAAGTCGCTCCACCGGCTCGAGAGCTTCCACGCGGCGGCCCGCGGCCCCTTTGAGCTGCTCCAGTGCAAGTTTGGCTTCCAGGCCAGCAGCGTCGCGAACCAGAAGGAGAATCTCGGGTGCTGGATCTCCAACTACCAGATGCGCGTGCGGGCCGAAGCGCTGTTTCCCGCCTCGGGCACGGGGGAGATGGAGAGCGCTTCGGGCGCTGCCGTGACGCACACGGCGCTCGTGCGCGTGCACGCCAAGTTTTTCAAGAATTACTTTGCTTGGTGCCGCTTTTTGCGCGTCGAGCCGCGTGCAGCGGCGACACTGTCGACGCACTCGACGGGTGCGCCGACGACGGCGACGCTCGAGACGCAGTTGGCGCTGTTTCTGCTGCTGTGGGGCGAAGCGGGCAACTTGCGGTTCATGCCCGAGTGCATTTGCTTTTTGTACCACCAAATGGCCGCGAAACTCGCGCTGGTCGAGACGCTGCCAGACGTGGACGACGGATTTTACCTCGAGGCGGTCGTGCGGCCGATGTACCACGTGATTGCGACCATGCGGTCCGCTACGGCCGCCGACGCGGCGCGCCGGCCGCTGGACCACGAAGACACGACGAACTACGACGATGTGAATGAGTTTTTCTGGACGAAACAGTGCCTCAAGTGCAACGAGACGAACGTCGCGCAGCTCTTGAGCGTGCACGACCCCAAGACGTTCAAGGAGAAGCGCAGCGTGTTTAACCCCGTGCTCGCGTTCTTCCGCGTCTGGTACTTTCTGTTTGTGGCGTTCCATGTGATGGTCGTGATCACGTACGTGGCGTACATGGCCGAAGGCAACGACGACGGCGGACTGGGCTTTTTCTTCCGTGTCTTTCACACGAGTCAAAATGCCATTCGCGCCCATGCGGTCTACACGCTGTTGATCACCATCACTGGACTGTTGGCGATGAAAGCCGTGATGCAGATTTGGCTTTTTGGCTTGAGGCTCTACAAGGACATGTGGCTGGCCATTGGCGTCTTTAGTCGACTGCTCTGGCACACGCTCTTCCTTGGACTGTTTATTGCTGTTCACGTGTCGCCGGACGAGCAAGCGCTGTTTGGATCTTTGAGTAGCATGTTGCCAGGTGGAGGCACTGCAGGGTCGTTCTTGTCGATGGGACTGGTGTACATGGTGATCTACTGCATCCCGGTGCTGGCGGCTGCGACAATACGCGCATTCTTGCCGAACGCGATTTGGGGCATCCGTCTGGTAAACGCTCTTGACGGTACGAGTCGGCAGTATGTCGGGCGCAACACGGCTCAGCAATGGAAACACTACTGGAGGTACTCGTTGTCGTGGTATATCATTTTCAGCTGCAAGTTCCTGTTCGCTCTGCAATTTATGATCCGCCCACTGATGGCCCCGTCGGTCGAGATTCATGACATCTCGATCGACGATGGTGGCATACTCCAGTCGGGCCACAACATCATGTTCATCCTCGCGCTTTGGGCACCCGTCGTCGTTGTGTACATGTACGACACGCAGATCTGGTTCATCCTGTATCAGTCTATCGTCGGTCTGGTCATGGGCAAGCGCATGCGCATTGGCCATTACGTCGGTTTGGCTCAACTGAAGACGGGAATGGCTACGGCGCCGAAGCTGTTTAACGACAAGGTGGTATCACTCGAGACGAAGCGGCCGAATCCAGATGCGTTCGCACCCGGTCCTAGCAGTGATCCCAGCGAGTTGCGTCACCACGATTTCGTGCGCCTTCGCTTCGCAATCATTTGGAACCAAGTCGTCGATAACTTTCGTCTGAATGACCTGCTGGACGACCGTGAAACGGTCATTCTCCAGTACCGCATTCTGAACAAAGGAGAGCGTATCCAGGAACCGATATTTTTGCTGGCCGGAAAGTTGTCAAAAGCCGTCGAAGTCGCGGCAAAAGCACGATCCCACAAGTGGGACACCGCGACCCTTGTCAAGAACATCGCTACTGCAGATGCACTGGAAGCGACGAAGAATGGGGTGGAGCTCCTCCGCGACATCTTCTACTTATTGCTTGGTGAGGAGGAAGAAAAGGGTGCTTTGAGCGTACTGGAGTACATCTATTCGTCGCCAGATATCGTCAGTCTGCTCAATTTGACCTACTTGCCCCAGCTGGCTGCAAACATGGTAGAGCTCCTCGCTGTGGTTTTGGATATGCCCGAGGACATTGCATCGATTGACTCGCTGGAGACTGTTCCGGAGGATTTGCGCATGGAGCTGCACGTGCAAGTTGCTCAGGTCGTTGATCGTCTGCGTTCCATCGTCTTGACGCTAGAGCTTATGTTGAATGACGACACGATATCGCGCAAGCTGCACAACTGCCGTTTCTTGCAAACCACAGCAAACCTCGAATTCCAAACCCAGCAGCTCATCAATCTCTACAAAGCTGATGTTATGGCTGAGACAGGCCTGATCGCTGTCCACCGTAACGAAGAGTTTGTCGCAAAACAAGCGCCTCGCTTTCTTGCTGAGGACTTTATCTCCAGCTGCACGCGCCTGTTCTTCTTGCTTTGCTTGGACGCGTCAAGCTCGCTTCCCCGTTGTGAAGACGCAAAGCGTCGTATGGGTTTTTTTCTGCACTCGCTGTCAATGGATATGCCGCGTGTGGCCTCGATGGAGGCGATGCCGTCGTTTTCTGTGATGACTCCTTACTACTCGGAGACTGTTCTTTTCACGCTTGATGAGCTGAATAACCCAGTCCATGCAAACCCGTTGTTCGCCGAGCTCGAGAAAAAGCAAAAAGCAAAAGGTTGGACGGAGTTGACGATCATGAAGTATCTGATCACGTTTCACGCCGAAGAGTGGAGCAATTTTCTGGAAAGAATGGGTGCTGCATCCTTGGAAGAGGTGCTTAAAATTGACTCAACAGAGGTGCGACTGTGGGCATCAATGCGTGGCCAGACGCTTGCTCGAACGGTCCACGGCATGATGCTGTACGAAGATGCGATTCGCCTGTTGCGCTGGTTGGAAGTGTATTCTATCCAGGACATGACCATCCAGGAAAAGCTGGAGGAGATGAATCGCATATCAGCGCTGAAGTTCTCGTACATCACGGGATGTCAGATTTACTCCAAGCAGGTCGCAAGTGGCGATCCTCGCGCGGCCGATATTGACTACCTGATGAAGAAGTTTCCGAGCTGGCGCGTCAGTTTCGTGGATACTATAACGGAGAAAAGGGGCGACGAGGAGATCAACCGGTTTGATTGCGTACTCGTCAAGGCAGAAGACGGCGAAATTGTCGAAGTCTACCGCTATGAGCTGCCTGGTAATCCGATTCTTGGTGAGGGCAAGCCTGAAAACCAGAACGTGGCATTGCCGTTTACGCGCGGCGAGTACCTGCAGACCATTGATATGAACCAGGAGCATTACTTGGAAGAGTGTCTCAAGATGCCGAATTTCTTGGCAACAGCGACAAGTACTGGCGAGGAGGTGACCGTTATCGGAATGAAGGAGCACGTATTCACTGGCCGCGCTTCATCCCTTGCACGTTTCATGACGCTACAGGAGCTGGTGTTTGTGACGCTGACGCAGCGAGTGTTGGCCAAGCCGCTACGCTCGCGTATGCACTACGGTCACCCCGACGTTTTCGAGAAGTCTTTCGTCGTCACGAGCGGTGGCGTGTCCAAGGCTAGTAAGGGTATCAACTTGTCTGAAGACGTGTTCAGTGGTTACAATGTCACCCTTCGCGGGGGACTGGTCTCGCACATTGAGTTCATGCAATGTGGGAAGGGGCGAGATGTGACGCTGAGTCAGATCAATGCTTTCGAAGCCAAGCTTTCCAACGGTTGCGCTGAAAGTTGTCTGAGTCGTGAAGGTCATCGGCTGACGAATTCGCTGGATTTCCCGCGCTTGAACTCTATGTTTTATGGTCACTTCGGTTTCTACATCTGTAATGCCCTTACGGTATTCTGCGTCTACGTGTACGCGTACTGCAAGTTGTATGTTGCAACGCACTCTGAGGTAGAGCAAGCGGCTGTGATGAAGACTGGCAGCCTCGACTCGCTTGCTGGTGTCATGACTACGCAGTATCTGCTTCAGTTTGGCATGCTGACCACACTACCTCTATTTGCGACGCTGTTCGTTGAGTTTGGATTCAAGCAAGCATGTTTGAAAGTGATTGAGCTCATCTCGACTCTCGGCATTGTGTTCTACGTGTTCCTGACGGGCACGAAGGCACACTTTTACGATGTAGCACTCATCCGCGGAGGTTCTAAATACCGAGGTACTGGCCGTGGCTTTTCGATTACGCGCGACCCGATGGTGAACTTTTTCAAGGAGTACGGCGTTTCACACTTTCGCAAGGCTGTGGAGTTGGTTGGTGTAATGATTTTGTTCGGTATCTACGGCTCTTTTGACATCGGTTCTGATGCGCTCGAGGATTATTGCGCAACCGCAGACTTTGACTGTAACAAAACTCCGGATCAGATACCTGCGAACGTCACGTCGCTAGCGGCTTTCAGCAATCAGTCGCAAAGCTACGGCATTGCGTCGTTCGCTGTGCTCTTTCTCGGTGCGTGCTGGTTGATGGCTCCCTTCGTGTTTAACACGGATGGTCTGGTTCTCCAGAAATCCAAGGTTGACATTTCGAATTGGCTATCATGGATGATGCGTTCTGACGACAAGGACAATGTAGACGGTGAGGAAACCGATAAGGATACAAGCACGTCTTCGTTGCGATCGAAAGATGGCTGGGAGGACTGGTGGAAATCTGATGTCGATTTGATGCTGCCACTAGGCCCGATGGGCCGTCTGACATACTGCATACGCGAAGTCCGCCATCCGTTGGCAATGTATTATGTCTTCTTGACCGAGTTTGAGCTCGTGTGGTTTGCTCTGTTGTTCGGTGCGATGGGCGTAACGTGGATGTTGCTGTGGTTTTTTGGCAACCGAGTGCGCCACTGCATGTCGAAAACCCGCCAACTGAATTCACTCAGTATTCAAGGCATTTTATACTTACTGTGTGTGATCGGAGGCATACTATTGGTTCCGCTGATATTCGGCTCGGTTGGCGGCTGGTCCGTGCAGAAGTGCTTCACCTTTTCGATCGCAATGTTCTTGGGCTTTAACGCGATTGTGCAGTACGCCCTTGCGTTCAACGGCGCGTTCAGGATGGAAGTGGCACTATGGAGACCAGTGATGGCACTAGGCTTTTTGATGGACATGATTGTGGGTATGTTTCTTATCATCCCGCTTTTCTTGATGTCTCTGTTGCCATTTATGCGCATTCTCCAGACGCGTGCGATGTACAACGGAGGCTTTTCGCGTGCACTGAGCTCCGGATCGGAGGTGGCCGCTTCGCTGTGCATCTTGCTTGGCTTGCTGGGCGGCTTCATTCACGGCTTCATGACGTCGTTCTTGTATACGCTTGGATACATCAACGACCCAAGCGACAACTTCATGAACCGATCATTTTATCACTTCGCGATTTCGAGACTGCCAAACAAAGGACATGATATGATGAGCTACATGGAAAACGGCTACCTGAAGGTTATCTGCGCAGCCATAAGCATTGCTGCTATCTTATTGTCTCTGCTTCTCGGTCGCGTTCTCGGTCGACGCGTGAACATGGCAATTGGTGGAAGCCTGATGTTCATTTCGCTTGGTCTGAATTTTGTCTCGAGCACGTCCGTTCTCGTTGTCTCGTTTGCGTTGGCTGCGATGGGCTCAGCCATGGTGGCGATGAACTACTTGCTGTACAGCTACGAAATTTGCACGAAGGGCTGGCGGGGCAAGAGTGTTACCATCTTCTTGATGGGTTCCATGCTTGGGTGGCTGGTGCACTCGTTGCTTATGGCAAATACGAACGCAACGACAATAAGAGAAGACTACGACAACGACCCCATCAATATGTGGCGTTTCCAGCCTCTAATTGTACAGCCTGCACTGATCATTGGCTTTTTTGTGATCCTGTGGTTTGTGCCTGAAAGTCCGGTCTGGCTTCTTGCACACAAGAAAGACGAATTGGCTCGTGTGGTGCTCATTCGACTGCGTCGACGTCAGAATGTGAATCCGGAGCTGGTCCTCATCCAAGCAGAACTGGCCCAAAAGACGAGGGAAAACCACCTCCTGTTCCGGCTAGCAATCGTGTTCGTGCTGCAAGCGTTGTTTGGTTTGATCATTTCCCAGACGATCTTGGTTCGACGGACGCTCCAGGTGCGTGGCAAAGATCGTGGCGCTACCAACAGCTATTGGCAAGTGTACTTTGCGCTGTGTTGCGCGACTGGCTTTGCGTTCGGCAGCTTCTTGATGGACAATGTGCGCCGAAAGACGATATTGAAAGAGTTTCTGCCGTTCGTGTCGGTGGTGGCCTTCACGTGTGGTATCATTGGAGCGGTGTCGAAGACCGACGGTGGGTTTCTGCAGGCGCTGCTATGCCTGCTGTATATTTCAGCGGGCTTGAGCCTCATGAGCGTGACGTGGTTATCTGCACTTGAGATGTTCCCGGCATCTCGTCGGCCGCTTTTCTGGACGCTGTCTCTGTGCGTATACTACGCTGTCCAGATCGCCGTGTACCTGTTGAACCCGTCCTTCTCGTTGTCCTGTTTCGTTCTGGCGGGTGCCTGCGCGATCCTCACGTTCGTGCTTTTCGCCTTCTGCGCTAGCACGAAATTGGGCGCCATTCAAACCAAAGCCGAGAAGAAGTACCAAAGATCGATGGGTGAGGAGGTGTTTGAGGAGGAGGCTCGGGTGACGGCCGATACGGATGAATATGAAGTGGACGATATGCAGAAGCAGCAGACGCGTATTGCGCAAGCGGCAGCCGCCATGAATCGCTCAGCGGGTATGGCATCGAATCCGGCATCGTCGGCCGTGAATGTGAAACTTGGTCAATCAGGTGGTGCTAGCCGAGGAGCTGGGCACAGCAGACCGCCCTCGAGGAGCGCGGCGTCGCATGCTCAGGCAAACGCTACGCAGTTTGGCTTTAGCGGCGTCAATGTTGATAAGCCCGGCGACCTAGTCCGTTCCAGTCAAGTTTCTCGCAGTGACCGAGACAACTTCAGCTTTCGGCGTTTGGGGAGCCTTGAGGAGCTGAATTCCGCCAGAACGGATCGCTCGTACGAGCAGAGCGCGGGGTTGAGCCGGCAAGGCAGCTCTTTAGCCTCGCACGAGCCGAGCGCGGGATTGAGCCGGCAAGGCAGCTCTTTAGCCTCGTCCGAGTGGTCCGTGGATGTTCCACCTGCGAGCGGTCGAGGGCAGCAGTTGACGTCGCACTTGTCGTCCACGTTTGACTTTGAGGCGGAGTTCGAGGCGGAGCACATCGAAGACATGCGCCAGGGACAAATTAGCTACCCGCGCGGTCAACCTCGCTCTATCTCCTTTCTGCAGTCGCAGCAATATCCGGATGCTGATTTGCACGCCGAGACTCAGTCCCGTCGACTGTAGATGAATGAAACGCACATGTAGTTGTCGCTATCGCTGAAGTGACAACATGCAAAATTTTGTTTTCGCATACTCAACAGTTTGTTTTGTTGCTTATCGTCGCACGAGGATACTGCCAGCGTTACATCATGCACATGACCAGATTGTTACTTGTGTCATCGACGGCTTGCTTGCTGGCACTACCGATACCATCGTGCCATTCGCCTACCGTTATAGCTCATCGTGACGAGATGCCGTAATGACATTGGTGTGCTGCACAAATTGTAGATCGATAACTTACAGCGACTTCAGCGATGGTCAATACATGTTGACGACTTACGTCCCGATTTCGGAATGCTACACTTACATGAGCGATACAATCACCGCGTCGAACCGCGCAAGGATCACCACACATCTCTATCAAAACATCATCTTGTGTATTCGATCTCATTCTCTGTCAGATAGCAGGTGTAGTGTCCAAGTTAGTAAATCAAAAAGTAAGTTCATTAGGTCCTTAGTTCACCACTATGTGCTACTCTAAGCCTGCTGATTTCTGACTGATTTCTTTGCCTGATTTTTATGATGATGACATCGTTTACGTAAACAGATATCGTCCGTCGTGATCCGTTGCATCGAGCCTTACATCCTCCCCGAGAGCATCTCGCGTTGGCGTATTTTAAAATCTTGCACCAGGTCTTGCCAATGCGCCACATGCCGAATGTTCTGTTCTTTTTCCCAGGTACACTCGTGAACAGGAAGTCCGTGCCACCTAACAAGCCACTCGTTCTTTTTGTTGTAGACCCGTTTCTTGACCAGCGCTTCTACGATGTACAGCTCACTGCCGGTTTCTTCATCCAGTATCACCGGCACTGCTTTCGGGATCGGGCGACCGCTAAATCTCGTCGGGTTCGGGACGAAATGACTTAACAAGTCAATGTTAAAACTTGGATGCAGCTTGCGGAGGCTTCTAGGCAGTACAAGTCTGGCCACGTTACTATTGATCATGGTTTCAATCTTGAATGGTCCGATCTTCTTCGCCAACAGCTTTGTTTTGCTGGTTCCAGTACCCATATTGTGGTGACGTAGCTTGAGGTGTTTTGCGTCAAGCATGACCATGTCTCCAGTTGTAAATGTCACGTTGCTGCGCTTCTTGTCGTAGTAGTTTTTTTGTTTTTCTTGAGCCTTGGCCAAGTTTGTTTGCGCAAGCTTGATGATCTTTTGTCTCCTGTCTGCAAATTTTTTCGCGTACTCGGCTACAGGTAACTGCTTTCCTGTGACACTGAAACTTCCAGCAATAGCATTGCTAACCTGCCGCCCTGTGTCTATCTCAAAAGGTGAAAGCTGTGTTGATTTGCTCACTAGAGTTGCATGAGCGAACTCTATGGTACCAAGATGTGTCGACCAGTCGTCGCCATGGTACGAAACCATGCATCGCAGCGCGTCTTCCAAAATTAAATTCTGTCGCTCCGTCTGGCCGTCAGCTTGCGCACGGTGAGCTGTCGTCATTGACAACTTGGTTCCCATAATGGTCATTAGCGACTTCCAAAAGTTCGACGTGAACTTTGGATCACGATCACTGATAATGACCTTTGGAAGTCCGTGATGACGCACCACGACATCAAAAAAAGGTTTGCAACTTTCGGCGCATCCGTGTTCGTGTGCGTAGGTGCATATCGGGGTCGCTTCGATAGTTTGTCGACCACTGTCATTATAGCATCAAATCCCCTCGACACCGGTAGGCCCGTTACGAAATCCATCGAAACCACTTCCCAGCACTCTTCTGGAACTGGAATCGGCATAAGTTTACCATTTTTTTTCAAAGTGCTCGTCTTCCATCTTGTGCATGTACCGCAGCTTTGTACATATTCTCGTACATCCATTTCCAAGCGGGGCCAGAAGTACCATTGCGCCACCTTAAGCTGCGTGCGACGCACTCCAGGATGTGCGGCGGTGTTTCCATCGTGATGTTCACGAATAATGGAGGTAATAAGTCGATCATCTGCCGGGACGCACAGCCGTTTGACTGCGTGATTCGTCCTCAGATACAACAATCCATCGTCCAAAACATACTTGTCGTGATTTGTGCTCAGCGCCTCTGTGAACTCGTGGTCCTTGTTGTATCCTTGAATAAATGCCTTCTTCGATGCCGACGAAAGATGTATACTTGAAATTATGAACTCGATGTGCCGGACTTCTTCGTGAATCTTTCGCTGATGTTTCTGAGGCACACCAACCTGGTGCACTCGTTCCACCCCCTCAAAGTCCTGCACATCGAGAAGAAGGTCTTTATCCAGGCTCGGCAGCATACAGAGGACCGCCAGATGAATACGATGACGTCGAAGGTGGGCGTCGCGATGAGCGCACAATGAACCACAGTCATGAACGTGAGGGACGATACTTTCGCTTCTCGTCAAAGCAGGACGGGTGACGCTCGGACGCGACAATGCATCGGCGACCATATTGGAAGTACCTTTGACGTGATGTAGCGTGAAATTAAACTGAGAGAAAAAAGTCAGCATACGCGCCATTTTAGGCGTGACGTTTGGGTGGTGTAACATCCAACGGCACGCATTGTTGTCCGTATAGACATCAAATGACCGACCGTGTAAATAATGGCGCCATTTCGCGAGTGCTGTCTTGATCGCGAGTAATTCCTGTTCGTGTGCCGGCCACCCTTGTTCGTGAATACCAAACTTTTTCGAAAAAAACGCGATAGGATGGTCCTCGCCACCAGTAAGCTGTGACAAAACGCCACCCATGCATAATCCTGATGCATCCGTAGTAACGATGAAAGGAATAGAAAAGTCCGGTAGCTGAAGCACGGGAGCTTGTTGTAGCGCGACTTTTAATGATTGAAAAGCTTCATCTTGATCTTCTGACCACGCCCAAGGTACGTCCTTCTTGACCAGCTTGCTCAATGGAAGTGCCATCTTGGCAAAGTCACAAATAAAACGCCGATAATAACCAGCGAGACCTAAAAAGCTTAGCAGCTCCTTTCGCGAGGTTGGATGGGCCATGGTGGCGATTGCAGATGTCTTACGCTGATCCACACTCAACCCATCTCGTGAAACCGTGTGACCTAAGAACTGCACACTGTCCCTTACAAAAGAGCACTTGCCGCGGTGAGCATACAGTTGTTCACGTCGCAGCACTTGAAATACCTGGCGTAGATGAATTTTGTGATCGGCATTTGTCTTGGAGAAGATGCATATGTCATCCAGATAGACCACAGCGAAGTCAAACTTATCAAACAATTCGCGCATAAGGCGTGACCATACACCGGGCATCCCTGCCAATCCCATCGGCGCGACACACCACTGGTATGTCTCCTTGTGCGTCCGAAATGCTGTGTACTGGCGACTGGAAGTGTTAACCAGCATCTGGTGGTAGCCTTGTGCTAAGTCAATAACCGTGAACACGGCGCACCCTGCCATCCTGTCAAATAGTTCCTCGATGTGAGGGAGAGGTATTTTAGGGATTTTGGTCTGGCTATTCACGTAACGATAATCAATGACCCAGCGAATCGGCTGTAAGCTGTTTCCCGATCGCAGCCACTCACCGCGTGTTGGAGCTTGGCCCGTAACATGGTCTTTTTTAGGAATACCGAATATGTTGGAAACCCATGGAGAATTTGACACTTCGACCCAGCCTTTCTTTAGGTTGTCGGCAACGAAGGAATTCAGTGCTTCTTGCTCGGTCTTTGATAGACGAAACGGCGCTCTGGAACTTGGAATCGCATCTGGTTTCATTTCTACGTCAAACTGCACCGCACGTGGCGGTGGTAGTCCGTCGGGTAGCTTCGCTGGGAATATGTCGGTATATTCCTGTATAAGGTCACAAAGCCAATCCGGAACATTGTCGTCCACCAAATTAGAAGCGATCTTGACGACAAATAGCTCTGCGTAGTCGGACCTGCGCACGTATGATCTGTGCAGTTGACCACCTGATCTGGAAATCGTGCTGTCTGGGGTCAGCTCGGTCCGCTCTGTGCTATCCATATCACTGATGTGAGGCTGATTTGGAAGAAGCAGTTGACCCGATGTCCAATTAATTTGCGGTGCATATTCTTGAAACCACGGAAGACCAAAAATCACATCCTGCTCGGCATCCAGATGGGTTTCCGTGAAGATCATGTTTGAAAACTCGCCTTCATTAGTGCGTACTGTCGCTTCCACCGTCGCTAGATCAGCCGGTGGTGTAAGCGATCCATCAAACCGCTTTAATTGGCCGCGCTGCGAGCGGAGAACCTTAGTAGCCAGACCGGGTCGAATTACATTTGTTGATGCTCCACAGTCCAGCAAGATCAGTACTGGTACACCATCAATGGATCCAGTCTTTCGCAACAAATGAGGCCGATAATTGACCCCATTATTTTGTAAGGTGTTGACCGTAAATTGATCAAAAACAATGGCTTCGTCAGAAGATTCCGCTGTATCTTGAACATCTTCGATCATACTCACGCGCGCGCGCGGTCTCGAAACTGATCGGGTTCGTGGTCTTGTCGGGCACTCCGCGAGTCGATGCCCTGGCTTCTTACAATAGAAGCACAGATTGCGTTGGAAACACTCTTCTCGTGACACTACTTGCACGTTGTCAATCTCCATCGGCTCCGGTTGAGGATCGTCAAAGCGCTGATGAGTAGGTCTTTCTGGTCGACGAAATTGTTGAGTACGCCTTGAACTCCCCACGCCAAAATGTGAACGCTCAAAGTCGTAAGCAACGTTAATTGCCTGACTTAGAGACGAACAACGGCGATATTCCACTTCAGCACGGGTCTGATGCTTCAGGCCTTGCGTGAAGTAAAAGACGGAGTCGACATCACTCATGTTACGCACTTGAATCATCAGTTGTCGAAAGCGATTTACAAAGTCGCCAAGATCTCGACACTGCGCTTGATTGAGATTCCGCAGTTGGTCCCGAAGCCGGATCTGCAAGTCTGCGGGTACAAATTCTTGCTCAATGTGGAAAAATAATTCATCGACAGTGTTTATTCTGCTGCGTGACCAGACATACCAATCGGCAGC